TTTTAGAAAACAAAAAAGAATACTGCATGATAGAAACCCGCGTGCTTTTGCAAAGTATCACTGTGCCCGCGTGGACGCCCGTTTGAAGTGGGTCGACAGTAGCACGATACTTTCCCCTCCATGACAACTCAGGAGAAAGGAACACCGCAATAGGAGTAAGTGTGACCCAGCAGTCCCTCCTGGCACCCTGTTTGATGTGTGTATGTGTCTTGCAGTCGTCTCTTGCAAGCTAGGAGAAACGTGGGCGTGGCCGCATGAAAATGCCGCACTAACAAAGAAAACGGAAAGAGAGTAGAGGACTGAAAAGATGAAGAATGAGCAGCGTGGAGACGTGAGGAGAAACAGCAGCTGGCAGTCCACATGTTCGTTGCTGCTGCCGCGAAACAGCACAGAAAGATGAGCCGTGAGATATCGCACGCGCGCTGAAGACTGCTCAAAAAGAGCACCGCGCGTTGCTGCAGGCAATTGTGGTTGTTTCCCCTTTTCAATTCTACTTTGTTGTGTCGGTGAACGCCAAGGAAGGTAAAACAATAAATAAATGCATGTCCGGCTGATACCTGCACGGCGGAGCGTATAACCTCTAACATCGGTCGTACTCCACCTGTCAAGGAATCAGCGCAGGACCCGCATGAGTTTGCACAAAGCCAAAACGTCATCAAGAAAGGTTGAAATAGTCGGCAATGTTTTAAAGGAAAAAAGCAAGAAAAACAAAGGGAATCGTCAATGCGAAATACACGACGAGGCGTTTTTGAGTGCACTGCCACCCTTAAGACGGTCAGTGTGTTGGCGTGTAAGACGAGCAGAGTTGCAGTTTCACACAAACGAGTGGTTGAAAACAACGCATCAGAAAGTATGGTTTACAAGCGGAAAAATGGGGAGAAGAAGCGTTCGCTTCACAAATTTCGGCATGACGGCATTGGAGTTCGTTAGCAACAGAGCTGTTTCATGTCTCGCTTATGCCGTCCTCACGCATCACACAACGAAGGCAGAGGCACGTCAGGTGGACAGGCATGTGGCAGCCCCAAGCATCTACGTGTTTGAAGGTGATCGTGGAGGTGAAGCGCATCACAAGGGGGTCTTGCCGGTCAGGCCGCATGTGTTTCCACCGTCCACGGCCACGTCTGCACCCACCATGTACGAGGCGCGGTCCGACGCGAGAAACACGACGGCCTCCGCAATTTCACGCGGCTGGGCGAGACGTCCAATGGGAGAGGCCTCGCCGATGCAGTCTGCTTTTTGCTGTAACTCGGTAGCCATGCGGCCCACCATCGGTGTTTCGCACGGCCCGGGGCTCACCATGTTGACGCGAATGTGGAAGGGGATCAGCTCCAGCGCGAATGACTTGCACAGCATCCGCACCGCACCTTTGCTGGCGCAGTAAACACCAAGGCGAGCACCGCCGCGCACGGCGCCCGTAGAAGCAGTGCAGACGATGCTGCCACCGCCCTGCGCCTTCATCAGCGGGGCTACAGTGCGGATGCCGAGGAACACACCGAGTGTGTTGATGTTCATAATCTTGTTCCAACGGTCCAGCGTCGTGCTCTCCAAGTCGGACATGATCATGATGCCAGCGTTGCATACCAGCACATCAATGCGGCCAAAGGTGCTCTTGCACGCGTCCACCACCGTCGGCCACTGCTGCTCGTTCGACACATCCAGCGCTGCCGCCACCGCGCGCTGACCCTCCACGGCGTGTTTGCCGGCGTTCAGCGTGGCGGCCAGCTCCTTCACCGAGGCGCCATTCACGTCCGTCAGAAACACGCTGCAGCCCCGCTCAAAGCACAGCTCGGAGATGGCACGGCCGAGACCGGCACCGGCGCCCGTGATGAAGGCAACCTTGTTGGCGAGCTCGAGGGACATGGCGGTGAGAATCGCGAATGGTGGTTCGGTTAGTGTGATTGTGTTTTGATAAGAACAAAGATAATAAAAGCCAAAAGGAGGTCTCGTTTTGATAGCGTGGAGCTTGCGCCGACGCAGTCACGAAGGGCGCGGAGGTGGCACACAAGGAAAAAGAGTAGCGGCAGAGGGGCGGAGAGACACGACGGAGTAGACGTACGAGGTGCGTGCGCGCGTCTGCGGAGCGGGCGGCAACCAACATTCATTTTAACTCAAAATAGAGAGAAACGGAAAAAAAAAAGAAGAGACTACAGCATTTGCATGCGCGTGGGCGTACACGTCTACGCATCACAATCGACTTCGCTGAGGATTTTCCATACTTGTGAACGGCACACCACACACCGTCAATTTCGATGCGCCTTGCGAGCGGGCGCCAGCGCCATCTGCCTTCGCGGTTGTGTTCACCGTGTCCATTCGTCCTTCTACCTTCCTTAACTCCTCCCTTATTTTAATGTGCACAATGGAACCAACGGCGAAGAAATGAAATAATACTGCACAAGCATATTAAGGGTTTTCCTCAAATGAAAAGAAATACGTTTTCGACCGCATCCGATCAAGAAAAAAACGACTTGTCCGGAATTTCTACCTGTTCAATGTAGCGCTCTTTCTGTGTACCAGCTCCCCTCACCCTCCTCCAAACGGCGTTGCCGCATGAAGATGAAGCCGTCGAAACGATTTGCGACGGATTGCTGCGGACGAGCTCATTCGAGAAGCGTCGCCGCTATCACAACACAAAGCCTCAGCGTATTTCCTTTCTCATCTGCAGCGTATCACCACATACGACAAACAAGAAGTAAAACAGAAGAGGGACGCAAGATGCGGTGCTGTTGGATTTGTTGCCTTTCTCCGCTGCATAGAAAGAAAGGAACGAGAGACGTGCGACGTTTCGACCTCGCGGCGATGGTCGGCAGACGAGCTTCCGCATCGATGACTCCAGCGCCTCGGGAATGGGAAGCAAACAAAAGAAACACAAAGAGATGGTACGGAAAAGAAACGCCACATTAACCCCGACAATCTGTTCAACACACACCCGCAAAAAAAAAAAATCAAAAGAAGAAGCTATATTAAACAAGAATTCTTTGGACATGGAAGTAATCAAAAATACGGTGAGGTGGTGTAGCGTATGACGTGCATAAGGTTGAAGATGAAACCAAAAGGGAGGAATGCGGGGTGATTCGAAACGGCAATGAAGAGAATTCTAAAGTACCAAGAAAAGGAAAAAAGAGAATGCTACCTATTGAAAAAGAAGGTCAAGAGAAATGAGCCAATTCGTTTTGTGAACGCCAAATTTGAAAAAGGCAACTGCGAAGCATGCAGTTTGTCGCGGCGCGTGCGTCTGCGCCTCATTGGTGCGACAGACCGGTGCACGCCCACAACGCCTGCAGATGCTCAACAACACGTTCGTTGTCCTCGACTTTCTTCATTCGCGGTGCACATCGCTCTCGGACTCCGATCCGCTGCGGTCACTGAATGTGTCGTCAGCTTCGCTGTTGCTTTGCGTAAAGGACCGGTTGCGGCTCAGCCCCAGCTCCGACTGGCTCGGGATGTGGTTCATGTTGTCCTTCTCCGTCGCAATCACGTGGCGGCGACGCTTCTCTTCCGCATTGCGCCGCCGTGTACAGCAGCAGCACCAGATGGCAATGATGGCGGCGACAAGGATAATGTAGCACACCACCGCGATGACCAGGCCGGCCCACCAAGGAAACTTATTGCCACACTGCGGCAAAATCCACGTGCCGTACTTGTCTATTTTAACTGGGTGGCCGCAGAAAGAGTAGACGTGGCCGGAGCTGGCGACGAGCGTGATGGGGTCGCCGTTCGGGAAGGTCGGCGTGAGACGGTTGACGCCGTCGGAGCGGGTGTAGATGTACTGCTCGCAGACCAGCCGCGAGAACTTCGTAGCGATCTCGACGTTCTTCCACTTGCCACTGCTGGGCTGCACGACGACGCCCCGCTTCCCCCAGTAGCTAAGATTGGACCACGAAACAGGGAAGTTGGTGTCCCAGTTCGTGTAGGCGCCGGCGACGGCCTCGACTTTGGGCGTTGGGTTGTCCGCCGCGGAGCTGTGCGTCCCGGTGAAGTACACGCCACGGTAGAAGACGGTGAAATAGAAGTAATGAAAGCCGCGGTACCACCGCCACGTGCACTGCTGGGCGGTGCAGGTTGCCTGCAGGGAAGCACCGCCCAGCGGAAAGATCGACGTGATGCCGCTGTTGCGAGCGGTCTCAACGATCCTCGTCTGGATCGACTCGGATGTGCCCATCGCGATGTGTGAGCCAGGGAACCCGTCGTTGCAGGGGTCGCCGTTGCGCTCCACAATCTCGAAGCCCATGATGGCCTCCGGCGCGGTGTACGCTTTCTCTGTCGTGGTGTAGGCGTGTGTTGGAGGGACGGCGCTCAGCGCCACAGCCACCACGAGTACCGCAAAAACAATGTAGCGCATCATTGTGAACCGAGAAGAAGCCACACGGAGAGACGCTGTAGAAACGAATGAATGAATGAAGAAGAGAAACGAGAAACGAGATGCTACGCGGAAGAGAATAAAGAATCGAAATGCATGGAAATGAAAACACAAGAGAGCAGGAAAAAAAAATATGTCAGAAGGCGGTGACCACCGGTTTCTCGCCTTGCTGCACGCGGAGGCACAGATGCGTTGACTTAGCAAAGCTAGCTGCTGCGTCGTCCTTTTTCTTCTTCTCCTTTCCCGTTGCGTGTGTGTGTGTGTTGGTGCGGGTGTTGGGACGCAGCGAATGAAGTTACCTGCTGTGCGGGTGCCCGTGTTGATCCGCGAAGAGGGTAGAAGAGAATGGGCGAGAGAAAGTGGCGGGAGTGGAAGAAGGGAAGGACCAAACGCCAGCATCATGAAGGCCGGGTGCCGACCGATGAAAGAGGAAGAGGGGGGAAAGAGAGAGAGCTCAGGAAGTCATCGTCAAGCTGCACGGATGCCCCCGCAAACGGATAAGAGCAAAAAGCCTGCTGAACGCTACCCAAGTCAAAGTTCTCTTGTTCTTTCTAATTATATGTGGACATGTAATGAGGGCGCAGCTCCGAGCGCACGAACAACACCACGACAAAGCCAAACGGAGAGAGGATGGAATCGGGGGAAAAATCGATATATATATATATTTGCACACACACACACACACACACCGCCCTTTGTGCTTCGTCACTCAGCTCTTCTCACATGAGATTGGACTTCACGACACCACCAACCGCAAAAAGAAGAACTAAACAAAAACAAAAACGTTGAGGCACGGTAACGCCTCCCTCCCTCTCTCCCACTCACTCACTCCTTCAGCGACGTTGCCAGGACCTCAGGGAACGTATCATTCCATGAAACGTCGATGATAAGCGGGAGATGATGCGAGGGCAGCTTGTGATTCGGAAAGAGTTGGTCCTCATCGATCTCATCATCCTCCGGTACGTCGAGTACCTGGTGCAGCGCCAGCGACTTAGGGTCGTAGAAGATGAAGTCCTGCGTGTTAAACGTGACTCCCTTCGCCTTCCGCAGCTCCTTCACCAGGGCTAGCTGATCGGTCGAGGCCGATGAAGAAGGCGCGCCCGGAGCCGGGTCCGCCTGCTGCTCTGCTCCGCCTTCCACTGCCGAGGTGGCGCTGCTGCTCGAAATCGGAGGCGCGGCCGCGTTGTCCGTTGCGCCGGAAGAAGACGAGGACGTCGCAGGAGCGTGTTGGCTCCCGCGGCGTTTGATCTCGTCGCGCACCAGCTGCACCCCCGACGACTTGCCGTGGTAGCCGGTGTCACGACGCTGAAAACGGTGTAGCTCTTCCTCGGCGCTGTACTCGCCGTCGAAGCGGTGCATCTCAAGCAAATTCTTCTGGAAGTACTTCTCGTAGTCCCTTGCACGTGTCGCGTCGCGGTGATGCCACGCCGTCCAGCGGGGGCCGCCAATCAAGTCGTGTGCGGAGAAGAACTTATCGCGCAAGAGCGCCACGCAGGGCTCGTCGTCCGCTTGGTTGTTCAGGTCGCCGCATATAATGCACGTCATGTGGGAGCGGTCCGCGTCGTTGCGGGTCATCGCCTCCAGCAACGTCAGCACCTGCCGTGCCTCATGCTGGCGGACGCGTACCGCCTCGACGGAGTCTCCAGCCGTCAGCTGCACGCACGCGACGTAGAGCGTCATGTTGGTTACCTTGTCACGCATGCCTGCAAAGTGGGCGAAGTGGAAGTGGCGATGAAGGTCACGCCCGGGCATCATCAGCGGGAAGAAGCGGCCTTTGTGAAAGAAAAGAACGTTGCCGATATCCTCGTGCTCTGCTATCTTGCCCTGATTCGACTTCGCCGCGGCGACGTCCCCACGCCGCAACGCGCGTACGCGGGCACCACGGCTGGACTGGTACAGCGTGCCGTAGCCCAAGAAGCGGACGTACTTCCACATCTCCGTATTGAAGAAGGTGCGGTTCACCTCGTTCAAGCAGACGATGTCGGGGTCGTAGTGCTGCAGCAGCGTGACGAGGTGCTTGCGGCGAAACGTCGGCGCCAGAAATGGCGGCAGCTCCATCTCGGTGCTATTCGGGTCGTAGTCGTAGAAGCCCTCGCCTCCGCCGTCGTCGGCACCGGGGCGAGTAAACTCCGGCACCCGTACCCGCACCGCCTCCACCGGGGTCGTCCTCCCGGGCCCCCACGCGTCCGTCATCGCGTTGAAGCTCAACACGCGGAACCAGTCGCGGCGCGACACGCTCGTGGAGAGCTCCGACATGGGCGCGCGCACCCACGCTCGCTTCAGCGGCGGCTCGACGGTTTCCCGCTGCGTCGGTGCCAGCTCCTGGGCGAGCAGGCTGGACATCTTCACCTGCAGGGCCGCCGCATCGATCTCCGCGTCGACGAGCGAGGGCTGAATCAGGTGAGGGCCGCCTTTCATCCCGCTTCCGAGCCCCATCACCGGGCCGCCGCTCACGGAGGAGATGTCGTTCAACAGAAGCGCAACGCGTCGAAGCATCGCGCAGAGGGCAAAGCAGCGTCAGCAAGCAGAAGAAATACAGAATGGGGGTTCGGCGCAGAAGAGCGAAGAAAAGGAAGAAGAAATGAAACGGCGACTGCTCGACAGAAACACCGCAGCTGAGCGAAGGGACGCGGCGGCACCGTGTCAGACAATAGAGGAAGAGCACCCACGTGGTGCTCGTGGAACCTGCGGTGTGTGTGGGGGGGAAGGGAGAGAGAGAGAGAAGTCGCGTATGAAAAGAACAGAAGGTGGTAAAGGGAGAAGATGAAGATGAAGGTGTAGGAAAATCAGGCACGACACACACACACACGACTCAGCTTCCTCGCCGAGTGCGTGAAGCGTCCATGCAACGGTGCAGAGAGAGGAAGAGGAGGGGGGCGGGTGAGAGACCGCATACAGCAGAGATCTGCGTTGCCTGCATCAGCGACACGTCGAGAGAGGACTGCATGAGGTGCAACAAGAGACGTGCACGACAAAGATTTTATAAATATATATATATATATATACTGGCCTCGTTGTTGTGTACATGAACATAAAGGCGTCAACACGGAACATCACTAATGCAGAAGAGATGGCGAAGACGGAGAGTGGAGGGGTAACTGCATTTGGGCGGGCGTGGCACGGCAACGGCTGCCTCTGCGATTCTGTGCGGCAGCCGAATATACCTACGCGTGTATGCATAGTGGCGTAAGGGATGATGAGGGGAGGGGGTGCAGATGTGCGTCTGTAAGCTGTGCGACGAACAGGAGGCCTCCCCCTCCCTCCCCCCAACGCACGTGCAAACGAGCAGGGCTCGTCTGATGTCTGTTCTAAAGAAAAAGAGAGGAAATCGAAATGAAAACAGAAGAAAAGCGCCGCTGAGACGGCAGACGGCCAATAAACAGAAGAGAAGCGAGAAAACTCAAAAACAGAAGCCGCAAACGCGCAACGCATCCGTCGCCGTAGAGCCAAAACAAAAACATGTTAAAGGAGCTTAACGTGTGGGAAGAGGTGGAGGAGAAAAACGTCTACGAAGCAGCACACGCGAAACCACACAACGCTGCTCCTTCTACTGCGGCACGGAGGCGATGTTGGCGACCTGCTGCGCAATCTTCTCTAACTCATCCAGCTGCGTCAGGAACGACTCCATTGCCCGCCGCTTCTCACCCACCAAACTGCGTGCGCGTTGCACGAAGTCCTTCGTGTTCGCATTCATCTGCTCCGCGTCGTACTTCACCTGATACTCCTCCTTAATGCAGCTCATGTCCGACTCCAAGTAGGCGTTGTAGTGGTCCAGCGCGCGGCCACGCTGCGCCGCCACGAGCTCCGCGCCGCTCTCGAAGCGCTTACAGCTGAGTCGCCCGCTGGCACGCCGTGATGGAGGAGCCCGCCCCGCCCCCGCCCCCTCCGCACCGTCGGCGTCGTTGCCGTCCGCCTCCCGCGGCCGCTTGCTGCACACCGTGTCGGGCGTCGTCTCTCGCGAGGACGACTGCGGTGTGGCGTAACCGCTTTTGGTAGGCGCGGCCAGTGTGTTGACGGCGCGGCTGCTGAGCAGCAACGTGCTCTTCCGCGGGGGTGCGTTGAAAGGAAGTGCGGTGGAGAGTCGCGACGCAGCGGTACGCGGACGCGGTTTTTCTGCGGCGGTCGGTGCCACCGCAGCCGCCGCGGCAGCGACGTCGTCGGCCGGCTCGCTCGGCAGCCAAAGAGTGCGCCGCTCGCCGGCGACCTTCTTCAGCTCCTTCACACGGTCGGCGTAGCGCAGCGTGTTGAGGGTGTGCTCCGCGTTGTTGTTCGACGGAGAGACGGCGCCGATCATCACGGTGCGGCAGTTGCCAACGAAGGAGTCCCGCAGCACCTCCGTCAACTTCGAGCCGCGGAACGGGACGTGCCTTCTGTTTTGGTCCAAGAATCGAATGCACTCCTTCAGGGCCAGGAGCGACTTGTTGATCTCCGCGCCTTCCAGCCGCGTGTGTCGGGCGCAGTCCACCGTGTCGGCGCCCCGCTCGCTGCCTGCTAAGTCGATAAAGGTAAACTTGCCACACTGCCGCAACGACTTGCGGTGCTTCAGCTTAATCTCCAAAATGGCGTGCGAGCGCGAACTCGTGTCGTTGGCCCCGGTAGAGCCGCAGCTGCGTACCCCGCTGCCCTGCTCGATGATGCTCATCAGATCATCCACGCAGTTCGAGCCGTGCTCGGTGAGGCCGCGAATGTTAACCTTTCCTTTCTCGTCCTCCAGCGCCCGCAGCGGACGGCGGCCGTTGAGGAGGTCGAAGAGCTTGCCGCTGTAGATCTCGTAAAACGACACGACGATGCGGGTGTCCTCCGGAAGGCGCTCAAACATGTCTCGCGCGGCCAGGGCGTAAAGTCCCGGCTCCGGGCTTTTGCCCAGCATGGTGTGTGTCTTGCCGCTGCCTGTCTGGCCGTAGGCAAAGCACGTTGCGCTGCCGCCATCAAACACGGTGTCAATCAACGCGTGCGCGGTGCGGTGGTACACCTCCTCGTTGGAGCACGTCTCGTCAAACACCTCATCGAAGAAGAAGCGGTGGACGTGGGTGTACTTGCGCAGGTCAACCTTCACCTTCGGCTCCTTCAGCACAATCTCGCTCACGTTGTCGACCTCCATGATGTCGGTGAAGCCGTTCGCCTGCTCGCCGGCGCTCAGCGGCCGCTTCCGCACCGCAACGAGAATTCGGCTTTTGCGTTTGATCTCCGTGTTGTCGACGGTGCGGGACAACACCGTGGTGCCGCGTGCGGTGTACAGCCGCCGCCGCTCGTCGGAGTTGTTTCTCTCCTCATCATCCTCGTCCTCCTCCGGTGTCGCGACGCCGTCGTCGATGACGTCGCTGCCGGAGCGGGAGGAGGGCATCGGGTTGCTCCGCAGGAACTCCATCGCGTCTCGCAGGCGGAGAATGTCCATCGCCTCCACCACGCCGTAGCTGTGAAACTCCTCCGGCCGCAGCGACAGAAACCCCCTCACCGTCATGCTCGACGCGAAAGCCGTCTGGAACTTGTCGAGTTGATAGCGCCGCAGCACATCACGGAGGTACGCCTGCTGATCCGCTGACATGGAAAACTCGGCAGCACCGCGCGGATGCGATGGCCCAATTAGCCACGAAAGAGAAAAAAAAAGTGTATGTATCTATTCGAGTCTGAGAAGGAGGGCGACAGCGGTAAACACCAATCTTGAATGCATTCGTTTGCGCTGCGCAACCCGAAATGAAAAAAAAAGGATAGCAAAGCAGAAGGATTCATATGACGGCAAAAATCAGTACGTCGAGCCGCGTTGTCGTGACTCCGCGCACAAACGGAGACAACTCTGAATGTTCGGGAGGTTCAAGCGATCTAAATAAAAAACACAAATAAAAGAAGAAGAAGAAAAAAGGGTGTATTCAAGAGTTTCGTCGCCTCTCGTGAGCGCACAAGCGCCTGCTGTCCGCTTCCTGTGGCACACGAAGACGCGCTTATCGCACCGTCACGCGAATGAGAACCCTCAGAAATAAAAAGGAAGAGGAGGCGAAGCGAAGGCCATGAGGAGAAAATGGAAGGCAGGCGCAGAGGCACGAAGGAAGAGGAGGAAGAATGGACGTCGAAGAGAGCACCGCACACGTCTCCCTCTCTTACTTGGGGGCGCATACCTGACGAGGCCAAGGGCACTGCTGACTTTCTCCCAGCTCCTCCAGCAGAACACCGTCGTGTCTTACCGGTGGGACTCACTTCAGTCATCATTATAGAAGCATACCGCTGAAGAGCAGCACCGCCACCCAGCAAAGCAGTGAAATGACTTGTATCCCTGCTTACCCATTACGTTGAGGACGAAGGGAGAAGGACAGCACATGAAAACGGTCAAAACAAACACGTTAAAACAAGCACACGTCTGTGCATCGCGCTTCGCGGACAGCATCGACAGGACGACGCGCTCCACGACGGCGGCAGCACCGACTCACAGGTCCTCCACAGCTTTCAGTGCGGGCAGCCATGCCGGATTCACCGCGTTAATGTCGCGTAGTTCCCCTTCCTTTTTGGCAAAGAAGCCCTCACGTCCCCACTTCTGGACGACGTCGTCGGTGAAGGGGCCGTGCTCCACCGCTGGCTTCGCCGTCCACCGCAGCATCCACACAGGCGGCAGCGTGGCACCCGTGCGTCGCGCCTCTGTGACCGCCTTCAACAGAATAGCCTCTCGCGTCATGTTCATCAACACCAGCTCGTACTGCGCCATGGCTGCGCTGTGCAGCTCCGTCAGCCGCGCTAACGGATCCGCCGACTTCTCCTTTGCGAGTCGTCGCAGGGACTCTGCAAACGTTTCCTCCTCTCGGACAAGCGACAGGACGGGGGTCAGCAGAAAGAGCAGCGGCATCGCCGCGGGCTCCTCGAACTCCTCCACGGCGGAGGAGGAGGTGGTGGACGAGGACGAGGGAGCGCGCCCGAGCCCCAGCGAGCTGGAGGCGGCACCCGCAGAGGCGGCGTCGCTGTCGATGGAAGACGATCGCGCGCGTTTCATGTCCGTGTCGCCCGTTGCGGGGATGTTCCGCGGGTCGTCCTGCGCGATAGGCTGAACCGCGCAGAGAGAGAAAGAAAAAAGAACGGAGAGATGGGGAGGGCACGTAGAGTCAAAGCGCAAGATGGAAAGATGGTAACCAACAACGCCACGGAATGCAGAGAAGCACGCCAACGCATACGGTCCGCCAGAGATCTCTTCCTATTATTCGTATTATTACTACCATTATTATTATTTCTCAGTCAGTTCACATGACTGCTCGCACAAGTCGTCTTTTGCGATAAAACACTGGCAACGGCAAACGACCAAGTCCGCTTCGAATGCAGCCAGAAACACGCATTAGCTGCATTCACCTGCGTTGGTCGCATATGTCTTCTGTTTTTTCTTCTTTTCCTTTACATTAAGTTTCGCGGTTCATGCGTGAGTGGAACATGTTGCACGCAGCATACGCGTTGGAGAAAAGATACGCGTATGTGTACATCGCTTCTAGCGCGGGTGGGCGCTTGTCTTTCCCTCGATCATCAGCCGAAGAATCGAGAAGACAACAAAAATAATACCTGGAAAAGAGAGAGAGAGCGGGAGAGAGGAGAAATACTCTGATATAAAAACTCAAAAGAACGCTTCAGACCGTTAAAGTTCAGAAACGCTCCTTCTGTCTCTCCCCCGCCCTCATCTGTTGCAAACACCCTGGAATGCATTGCTAGAGAAATGCTCACACGACTCACCTCCCAATGAACGTAATGAACTCACTGCTGAGTAGTATCAAGAAAAGAAAAGGCATTCTCAGGAAAAAGAAAGGAACGTACGGCGAAACCAGAAAGATTGAAAACAAAAGAAAAATAAAATAAAAGAGAGGTGTGTCCGTCTGCTCTCCGTCCCAGACTGCACCTCCTTAATCCAGACAAGAGGGAGAGGGAGTGATTAAATCAGGCGAAGAAATGTTTGCCTTACGTTTTTGTTTATTTGGGTTGATTTTTTTAACTCTAGCTCTCGTCAGTAAAGACTGGAAGGAGAGAAATCAAGTACTCAAAATTTGAAGCAAAAGGGAACACAAAGCTTTCATTGGATACGATCGGAAACGGAGTACCCCGACACACATGCGCACACACGCGTAGACGACAATACATAAAGGTACGTAAAGAAGAAAGCGACGCGCACGTGTGCGTGCGTGTGTGCTGAAACGGACAACAGAAATTGCCGGGATGAAGACGAGCGGGCAGCCATAACCAGCCACCACCACAAAGAAAAGGGGAAAAACACGTTTGAAGGGCTGGACCAGAAGACACGAGTGAAGAAACGTCCAGAAGAGGTGGCGAAGTTCAGTTGGTGCAGAACTGGACTACGCAGAGCGCTTCTGAATGAAACTCACACCGTTCCTCGGGGTGCCGTCGTGAATGAATGGTGGGTCGGTGCGCGCTGGTGTGTCGCAGCATCGCTAGTCCTCTCCGTCAACGTCGCCATTCTTTATTCCGTTACTTCTTGTCGTGTTCGTTGAACACGTGTGTGAAATTGCAGAGGTGTGCGGGTGTACGCGCTCCTTCCGCCTTCTCTTCGTTCAATCATCAAAAAAAAAAGGGAAGAACATAAAGTCGAAGAGGAAGTCTACCGCAGAAGGAATCCCTCACTCTTCGTGCTCCTCCTTCCTCCGCGCACCGACTGGCGGTCGAATTCTGACGTGGGCGAGCGTGTGTGTGTGTGTGGCTTTTCATTGAGCTGCGGAAAGTCGCTCGGGTGCTGTCGCCATTTCTGGGTGCAATCAGAAAAAGTCAGACAGGAAAGGGGGGAAACCCGAACAGCGCGCCTTCGTAGCCAACATCAGCCCCCACCCACGCCGCACGCATCACGAGAGAAGAGAAGAGCGAAGGCGGTTTTGAATGAGAGAAGGAAAAGACACAAAGAGAAGAGGAACAGAAGTCTCGCGCAAAGGGAGTCGAGAGCACGCGAGAGAACGCTCCGTCATTTGCTCTACTCCATCTCCACCATCACCTCGCTGTCCTCCACGGTGGCGCCGACCTTGACCTTCACCTCCTTCACCGTGCCGTCCGCCGGGGCGTGGATCTTGTTGCGCATCTTCATCGCCTCCAGGGTGAGGATCTCCTCCCCGGCCACCACCTTCTGGCCGGGCTGCACCTTGATGGCGACGATCACGCCCGGCATGGGCGCGAGGACCTGCTTCGCGTTGAGGGAGCTCTCCACCTTCGGCACGAACTTGCTCAGCACAGACTGGAGGTCGCTCAGGACGTTGATGTCGAAGGTGGTGCCCTTCATCTGCATGCCGTACGACACCTCATTCGTGCCCCAGAACTGCAGCACCGTCTCCTTCTTGCCGTCGTTGACGCGGATGATCGGGAAGTCGACCTTCCACGCCACCTCGAGCTTCTTGAAGGGACCCTCGGCGGAGGCGGCCACCTCGAAGTGCGTGTCGTCGAGCTGGCGCACAAAGACGGGGACCTCACTCTCCTGCTGGGGGCCGAGGGACACGTAGAACTGACGTCCCTTCGGGGCCAACGCGGCGGGGTACTGCGCGGCATCGCGCTTAATATGCGCGCAGGCGGCGGCGTCGAACATGAGCTCCATGTCCTCGTCCGTCATGCGCGCCTTCTTGAAGCCGTCCGGGTACTTCTCCGGGAGGTAGTTCGTCGTCAGGTTGCCGCTGAGGTACGTCGGCTCCGTGATCACGTCGCGCAGCAGGCAGATGTTGTGGCGCAGACCGCGGATCACGTACTCGTCAAGCGCCGTCCCCATGCGCTCCAGGCACTCCGTGCGGTCCTTGCCCCACGTCGACAGCTTGCAGATCAGCGGGTCGTAGTACACCGAAATCTGCGAGCCCTCGATAATACCAGAGTCGCAGCGCACGCCAGGGCCGGAGGGCTCCTGGTACATGGAGAGGCGGCCAACCGAGGGGAAGTAGTTCTTCGTCGGGTCCTCGGCGTACACACGGCACTCCGTCGCGTGTCCCTTGATCTTGATGTCGTCCTGCGTGATGCTGAGCGGCAGACCGGCGGCGGCGCGGAGCATCTGCTCGACCAAGTCCACCCCGGTAATCTCCTCCGTGATCGGGTGCTCGACCTGCAGGCGGGTGTTCATCTCGAGGAAGAAGAACTTCTTCTGCGGGTTCACGACGTTCTCCACCGTGCCGGCGCTGACGTACTGCACGGCGCGCGCCATGGCAACGGCCTCCTCGCCCATGGCCTTGCGAGTCTTCTCATCCAGCAGCACGGAGGGGGCCTCCTCGATCACCTTCTGATTACGGCGCTGGATGGAGCACTCACGCTCCGGCAGGTACAGGGTGTTGCCCTTGCGGTCCGCAATCACCTGAATCTCAATGTGGCGCGGACTCTCGATGAACTTCTCAACGAGCATCTTGTCGCTGTTGAAGGCGGCCATGGCCTCCTCCTTGCACAGGTCGTAGTATTCGACACACTGCTTGTCGTTGTACGCGACACGCATGCCCTTGCCACCACCACCGCCGGACGCCTTGATCATCACGGGGTAGCCAACCTCCTGCGCAAACTTCAGAACATCCTTGTGCGTCTTCACCTCACCGATGTAACCGGGAATGCAGGTCACGCCGGCGTCGCGCGCCAGGCGCTTCGACTCAATCTTGTCGCCCATCGCCTGAATGGAGTGGGCGTCGGGGCCGACAAACACGATGTTGTTCTTGGCCAAGGCGCTCTGGAAGTCACCGTTCTCGGACAGGAAACCGTAGCCGGGGTGCACGGCCTGCGCACCCGTCTTCTTGCACGCGTCGACGATCTTGTCAATGCGCAGGTAGCTCTCCACGCTCGGAGGGGGGCCGATGCACACGGCCTCGTCCGCCATGCGCACGTGCTTCGCCTGCTCATCCGCAGTGGAGTAGACGGCGACGGTCTTGATACCGAGGCGCTGGCACGTCGCCATGACACGGCACGCGATCTCGCCGCGGTTGGCGACGAGCACCTTATCGAAGATGGGGGCGGACATTCTTTCTGTTCTTTTTTCAACGGACACAATCGAAGTCGTGCAGATTGAACTCTTTTTTTTTTTGAGGAAAGGAAAAGGAGAAAAGTAGAAACTGAAGAGAAAGAGAAGGTATACCTTAGATAATCGTTTTTCTTAAACACCAGAATTACTGCGGTGGGAAGGGGGGAAGGGAGGGACGTTAAAGAAGAAGACAGCGAGAAGGGGGAGAGTGGAAAAGGCACGTCAGACAGAGTTAAGGGGGAGGAGGGGAAGAGACGGCGAGCACGAAGGGCACGTTGCAACGTCAGATGGGGCGCTGCCGTTTCGCCGTTAACTCCACCGCCGCACCTTTTTCTTTTTCCTGTTTCTTACAAGGAGACGGAATCACGCTGCCCCGATACATGAATTTAAAACCTAAAGCACAGTAACGTTAAGAAGCGCATTCGTCATTTCCTTATGCTGCATTTGCCGCCAACGTTTAAGTACAAGTGCTCCCGCAAGCAAAGGAAGCGCAAAGGAGCGGGAAGAGGCGCCGCTGACGTGCGTCGCACCATCCTGCGAACGCAGACTTGCAGAGACGGTCTTCTCGCGATGACCGCTGTAGTTCCCCTTTTTGAACTTCTTAATGTGTGATGTATATATATATATATATATATATATTTCTTTCTTTTAAAACGGTGCTTGATAGCACGTGCGTGGGTGTGTGTAGGTGCGCATGTCGCACAACCCCTCCACAGCTGAAGGGGTACAACGAAGGCAGCGTCTGCGCGATCGCGCGTGCGACTCCCCGCTCTCTCTTGTCACCTCTGCTGCCCTGGGGAGCCACCGGCCATCCTATCCACCACGCTCCCCACCGACTCATCGGACACCGGCTCAGTCGCCGCGTCGTCCTCCATCTGCCGCTGCTGCGGCGGCGGCTCCTGCTGGCTCTCCAACTTTTGACGGAGCGCCGCCTTCTTCGCGGCGATGCTCTCGCGCAGCTTCCGCAGCGTCTCCTCGCGCTTCTCATTCACCTCGGCACGCTCCCGCAGCGTCGACTCCCGCTGACGCTCGAGCTCGCGCCTCTTGCGCAGCTCCAAGATGCGGCTCTGCAGCTCCGACTCTACCCCGCCGCCCACCTCGCGCTGCCGCAGCGGTGTGATAATCGTGCGGGCATGCTCCCACACGATGTCCATCTTCAGGCACCCGTCCTTGTACTTGAGCTCGTCCACGCGGTCCGAGTCGAGCGCGGCGACCTGCTCAATCGTCCAGATGTTGCGCTCAATCAGCTTCTTCGTCGTGTGCGTGCCACAGCAATCTAACCACGAGACGAACGTGCCCGGCGTGACGTCCGGCGCGCACTCGAGGTGCACCAGCCACCACCGGCGGTCTTCGTTCGTGACGCGGCCGCTGGTGGCGATGGCGCGGGCGGCCTGCACGACAACACCGCCGTCGCGGAGGCTGAAGAAGCGCCTCATTTCCTGCCGCTCCGGTTTGCGGGGAAAACAAGAAAAAGTACAAGAAGAAAGGCGAGGGAAAGGAGAGGGAAGTTTCATGGGCGAAGGGGTGCCGCTGACGACGAGGCAAGACGCACCATCGACACCGCCGCACGGCGTTCCTTCTGTGGCGTGTGGCGTCGCCGCTTCTTCGCGAAGGCCTCCGCAGCTGAAAGTTGTCCTCCGCCACGGCGCGCTGCTCAGCCACTCGCTGCTGAACGTGTAATGGAGCGCAGATATATAGACTGATATGTACCGTGTCATTCGCACATGCACGCAGAACACGCAGCGGTGTTCGCAGCGGAAAGGTTTGCTTATAGGATGCCAATTTGTTTTCCAAAGGGCAGCAACCTCGTTGAGGGCCCGTTAAAGCGCACACGCACACACGCACATGCACGTACTTCTATCAAGCAACGTTTTCTTCCATTTCATGCGCAGCACGCGAAGAGAGAAGAAAGCGACTCGTAAACCAATAAAAACAGCTGCGCGCCCGTCCCCCCTCTCCTGCGCGCTTTCCCCTCGCACGGTCGCCGTCCTCTTAGCTGTCCTCCTCCTCCCACGGCATCTTCGCGAACTCAATTCGACTGCCGCTGCGTACGGCTTCGGGGCGCGGCGGCGCAGACTCCAACACAGGTGCCGGCGCATCTGCGGTGGGTGACCGAGGCGGCGACGCCGTCTCTCGTGCGCTGCTTTGGTTTCTCGTCTCCGTCGCCACCGCATCGGCTGCGGCGTCGATCGCTGTCGTCTCCACAGCTAGTGGGGCAGGCGTTGCTGCCCTCTGTGCGGCACCGGATGGTGCAGCAGCCACATCAACGGAGGCGGTAGCATCGGCCGGAACGACGGGGGAGGACGGGGGCGTGGCAGGCACCGTAGCCGGTGTGGAGGGGGGCGTGGAGAGCGCCGTCCTGTACCTCGACAGCGTCGCCCTCAGCTCCCCCAGCGTCTTGGTGAGCAGCTTCATCGTGTGTTGCGAGAGGTCCGTCCGCTGCGCGGAGGAGGCCTGCAGCACCGCCGCGCATCGGCGAGCCGTCTCGGCCACGACGGCGCACCACGGCTCACCGGCCTCATTGCGCTCGATGAAGTCGCTCATCACGGCGTGGATCTCCGTCGCGTCGGAGATACGCCGAAGCAGCTCCTTCACGGAGGCGCTCGCGTCGGTGTCCGCAGCGCGCGACGGCGTACAAAGCACGGCGATCACCGCGCTCACCTGCCGCTCCGTCACGCATATCCCCACGCAGTGCGCCTTCCAGAAGTAATTCGCCCAGAACGTCTCTTCCTTGAGTTTGGCCGGCACAAGGGCGTAGCGCTGCGCACGCACCACGGCGGCGGTCAGCAACGCCTCGTGCACGTCGCGATCGGAGTCGAAGAGGGAGTAGAGGGACCACAGATCGGACTCCGACAGGCCCACCTCGGCCAGCAGGGCCGCGTCGTCGCACGACAGCGTCCTCTCCACGCCGTGTCGGTAGGTGCCGTCGAGCCGGGCAAGACGATCACAGAGCAGCGAGCGCCACGCGTCGGGGCGGCTGCGCCACTCCTCTGGCGGCTTCTCCCACGGAGGCGGTTCCGCCACACCAGCGTGGGACGACGACGACGACTGTGGCGCGGCGCTCGTCGGGGCCGCTTCTGCGGCGGATGGAGACGTCGACGACGAGGGAGCGGCGTTGGTGGCTTGTTTCAGCATCGCGTTCAGGTTCTCGCGGCCTTCGTGCACGAGGTGCGTCGTGGTTCCCAGCAGCTGCGACACCGAGGAGGAAAGAGAGGAAAAGAAGGAGTAGGCGGTCGTGGCTACTTGGTGCAGTGGGACGCTGATGCCGGTCTCAATCGTGATCTGCAACGTCAACGACTTCACCGTGCCCGACACGTAATGAGCGTTCGTCGTGATGGCAGCTGGGATTAAGTCGGGAAAACTAATTTGTGTGTTGTCGGCGTCCACAACAGCCGTTTTGGTGGAGCAAAAAGCCTTCTCGTTGGCGGCACGCTGTTGTTGCTGCTGCTGCTGCGACGGCGTTGCCTCCGTTGATGTGGCGCCGCGCTGCTGCATAGCGTCGAGGGGCAGCACTTCACACGTCACTGCGCAGCCGCCCGGGAAGTCGGAAGCCGACGTCGGCGACGTTGTCGCTGCTGCAGATGCTGCGGGAGCCCCGCCCTCTCCCGCGGCAGCCGGCGATGGTGGAGGGGGTATGAGCTCCACGATGAGGCCGAGCGCGTCGTTGGCCGGGTCGGCGCTCGGCACTAGGCCGCGCAGCAGCACGAGTTTGAACTGATGATGCCGTGTCATCGCGTTGGGCACCCAAAACGGAAGGGAGGTGAGTTTGTTCTGCCGGGTCAGCTCATCGATGCCGGTGGCCTCCCAGCGGTACACCGCCGTGTGCACGTCGGGGTTGCGCACGAACTCCGCAGACGACATGTCTTCAACGTGTCGAAGACAGCGGTGGGCTGCAACGCCGGATAGGAAGCAAAACAACGATAGAAGGCAGGCACCTTTAAGAATGTTTTGTTGTTGTTGTTGAGCTATTTTGATGTGTGTCACACTGCTATTATTGCTGTGTGAGTTGTTCCTTCTCTCTCTCTGTGTGTCTGTGTGTGTGTGTGTGTGTGTATGCGGCAGCAACGTAGCTTTTCAAACGAGATCAGAGATAATAATAATAATAATAGTAGTAGTAGTAAAACAAAAGGGAGAGAGAGGCGACTATCGATGAGCTCAGCGAACACAAACGGAGGCTTTTCAAGCAGCATTGCCCTCCCTTCACCTGTGGCACGATGCGGCTCTCTCTCTGCTGCTACTGATGCTGTCGTCCCCGGCATCTCTCTGTCCAGGTTGCTATGGAAAAAGAAAGAAAGCTGTGCCGTCGTTGCAACTGTTGGAAACCGAGAAGAAGATGAATTCGTCGGCCATCGTCGCAGATCAGCGAGTACACCCGCCCTAAAAAAGATAATACGGAACACAACAAAGGCCAAAAAAAAACCCATTGGTTTTCTTCTAAGCAAATGTATATATACGTGTGTGGTGTGCAGTAGGGCTGCATGCGCACCACGGCACACCACGTCAAGATCCTTCTAGCAGAATGGCCTGCTCCACTACCACGTCCGACACCGCCACGGCCGCCTCCGACATCAGTTTCCACGTCAGGTGCTCCTTAAATGGTCCCATGAAGACACCGTCACGACGATTCTTGCTCAGCAGGATGCCGGCCGACAGCTCCGCGCACCGCAAGCGTGCAACGTGCGCCACCGTCTTCGCGATCACCTCATTCGGCGGGACAGGTCCCACCGCGGCGAGGTAGCGCTCCATCTGCTCAAACGGAATGGTGTAGAAGACCGTCACCATCATGTTGACCGACCCGTCGCTGACCGCGATGCCCTCGACGGCGCAGTTCACCGCCTCCCCGGGCTCCTCGAAGACGCCGCGCGGCAGTGTGAAGACGCCAAAGAAGGACGACGGCGGCACAAAGAGTCGGGTGCGACTGCAGTACATCAGGGCGGAAGACAGGTACAACGCAGGACTGAAGTGCACCACACGCGGCAGGGCGTCGGCGCGCATCTCGCGATCGGCCGACGTGCACAACACCGTTTTGCGGCGGGTGTCGTAGACGACGCTGACACAGCGGGGGTGCACCGGCACAGAGCAGGTTTGGATGACCTTCCAAAGACACAAAGCGCCGGCGGCCGCGACGGCGAGCGGGAGGAGGACGCCGACCCTCTCTTTGGAGGGAGAAGCGACGGGCGCGGAGGACATCGTCGTGAAGAGAATAGAAAGACAAGAGAGAGCGTCTCTATTTGTGTATTGGAGGTGGGCGTTACCAAATAACCGCTGCTCTAGTGGATCCAACGCTACGGAAATCGGTGGAAGCAACGTGACGAGGTGGTCTTCTCGTTGGGAGCGGCCCGCCAAAAAAAAAGAAAATAAATGCAACGATGTGAGACAGCGATGTCGCTGGTCTTTCTCTCTCTTTAGCTTGTTTTATTTCTTATTATTAGGACCGCGTTGGTTGACGCTACGCTGCGGTGGTGGCCGCCACGCTGTTGGAGGAGGTACGCTCTCCCTCAGAGGCCGGCAACGGAGGCAGCACCACAGGACGTTGGCAAGGAAGAGAGGGAGAGAGACAGAAGAGGCCAGAAGCAGATTCCCGTTGCGAAAGAGACGGCATATAGATGTGCGTGAACACACGACGTCGCTTTTCTCTTTTGCTCTGTTATTACGTTTAAGGGCCGCGGCATTGTGGGGAAGACGTGCGGGTCGGACACGCCACGCACTCCGCAAAGGCTGGTGCGTCTTCAGTCACCACCACTCCACCTCCTCTCATGTCTTCCTCATTCTTTCAATTTCTCCATGCTTTGAATGTATAGGTCATCTGCGTCCATCTGTGAAATAGCGATATCGCGATGCCGCCCTGAAAACGCGCAGGGGGTAAGGGAAAGCGCCCGCATGCGTCTCTCCTGGTGGCCTTCACTGGTTCTCACGAGCCAGCGTCCACCGAGGCGGCATTGCCATCAATTACCACTCGATACGTCTGTGAGACACACCCGCAAACACACACAAGGCGAGCTAAAACGGCGCGATACTCTTCACCTCCTCCTCTGTAAACGCCACCGCGCTGTGCCCAATGCCCTTCATTTGCAGCGCCGCCAAAATCGCATTCACCGCCGCGCGGTACGACGGCGCGGGCACCACCGTCAGCATCTTCGTCCGCGCGTACGCCTCCATCGCTGCCCGTCGCATCTCCCGCTGCGACGACAGCCGCCGCTCCTCGGCGTCCTCGGGGGCTCGCTTGCGAATGCGCGCGACCCGCACAGCCTCCTCGACGCTCAGGAGAAACCCAGCATCGGGTTTTGGCAGGTCAGCCGGCCACTGATACACCGCGTCGTCCGTGGGCGGCAGCGTCTCCACCGTCAGCTTGTTCGCCAGCGCCATGGCACACGTCGAGCACCACCAGCGATCCACCACCACCATCGACGCCTGCGCCCTCGTCACAATGTCCTCCGCCGCGATGTAGTTTGCAGCGGAGTAGAAGGCACGCGCTACCGCCTCGTCTTGGTCTCGAAAGGCTGCTCGAATCGGCGCGAACTGCGGCGGCGGGGTGCTCAACGCTACGCCGTGCAGTTTGTCTGCCAAGGTGCGGGTGACGAGGGTCTTGCCGGTGCCATCGAGGCCCTCCACGACAACGATCGCGTGTCGTTGCGCGGCTGACGCGGCGTTGCCTGTCTCTACTGCAGGGTGGGCATCCGCTTTGACATTTTCAGTGAGGCGAAGGAAGCTACTGCAGCTCGCATTCCACCACGCCGGCTGCAAGGCTTCCACGGCGTGCAGCACCTGAAGGCAGTCATGGCGCGATTTGTAGACGTTGGTGCCACCGTGCAGCCGGTTGGCGAGTGTCACGACCGACTTCATGCGGTGCGTCCAGGCAGCGAGAGGATGAAAGAAAGACGGCAGCTGATTTCTATGCTGCTGTATCGCTTCCGACTCCTGGAAAGGAAAGAGAGGAAAGAGGTGTTAAAGGCTGAGCAGGGGGAAGGAGACGCGTAGGCGCCAATTTTCGATTGCTTAGTGCAGGGTGAGGAGCTCGAGCTGCGCGGATGCCGTCGCGCGCCGGCGCACAGCAGATGATTTGTATCGGCCAGTTTTTAATACGCATTATCTATTATGTAAGCAACTCGCACGTCCCACTCACATCAGCAGTAGCACGATGTTGCCCTCCATCTCGCTTCTTATATGTTTGCCTTTAATTCTTCGACATTGTAGCAGTGGTCGTGGTCGTGGTGGTGATACGTCGACCCTGACGGCGTGGGAACACGTGGCCCTCAATCACCAGCCCACCGCTTGGTGTCCTGCAAGGCAGCGCGGACAGAGATACACCAGCAGCACACAAACCGGGAGAGAACTTCAAAAAAAAAAACTTGTAAGTGCAACTAGATGAGCATCCAGCCTGGGCAGTACAGGTGGTTCGACGCCGGGTACGGATCCTTCACGAACCACCTCGACGGCGCCACCACACGGCGCAGCGGGACGCGATTGAAGTACGCGCCCCACCACGAGAAGGTAGAGTTCGCCATCACAACGTCGTTGCACTGCGCCATCATCAACAGCTCAAGAACATCGCGCGGCATCAACGCCGATGACGGTGATGGCGATGGCGATGACGCGTACACCGCATCCTCGCTGTTGTTTCGCTTCGCCTCCAGCTCTGGACTGACGACACTCACGTTCAGGCCTTTGTACTTGACGCTGAAATAGCCGGCCATGGTTTGTGCAACGCGCACGTCATCGCAAAACAACAGGAGATGAAGCGACGGCGAGGGTGGCGTTGCGGATTCGATGGCAGGGCGTTGCACGTAGGGTTGATGCTGTTGACGGTAGAGCAGCCCGCCAAGCAGCTGCCGCACCGCCGCGTCGTAGTACTCCACTTCCAGCTGCTCGAAGATGTCGCGGAAGTCGGCGTAGTCGCCACGCCGCACGTGCAACGCCACGGTGTGACACGCATCGCTGCGGTAATGGCGCCGGAGGTGGTGCTGGGCCGCTTTCCATAACTCGGCCGGTACGACGGAGCGCAGCACCGGGTAGTCGTTGAAGAACTCCTCGCACTGGAAGAACCCGACCATGTTGTAGAGGCACGCCCGCTTGGCGTCCAACTCGATTTTGTGCACGGGCCGCATCTCCGGCACATTCACCAGCGGCAGAGCCGGCGAGGACGCGCGCGACCGCGACGTCAGCCGCACGCCGTGTTGCTCCAGCTCGCGAAACACCGAGGACCAGTACGTCGGTCGCGGGGCAGCGGCGCTGCTGCTGAAGGCGACGGGCTCGACAAACGCCGGAATGCCGCTGCGCCGGGATGTCGCGAGTAGGTTCGCCAGGAGAAAAAGTTGATTGCCGAGGCCACCGACCACGTTGGTCGTCAGCAGCGCGGCGGGCTTCATCCTTCCCTCCTTCCTTCCTTCCTTCTCTCTTCATGTAGTAGTCGTGGTGTTGTGCGTTGAGGGCGGTGCAAAGAAACAGAAGAGTAGGGAGAAGGTTCGACGAGTCGTTTCGGGCGCGTCAAGCAATGAGAGGGCCGCTCCTACTGGGGGTGGGAGCCTTTCCTTGTTCCACTACGTGTGGCAACGAACCGGAGATGCTGCATCGGGGTGAAAAACAGCGCCTCCGCGGCCGGCAAGCGAGTCGCCGCCTCGGAGCGAGGCACGCGCCTCACCACATTGCCGTTAAACGGTTCTCCTGCTACATAACGCCCGCACACGCCAAATATATATATTTAAGCGCGAAGGGCAAATAAAAAAACACGTGGTCCATTGCGCACAAGGAAGGTTTCTTTTATGAAGCATTCGCTATCAGTGCTACGTGTGATGAAAAGAAATCAAAAGAAATAGAAGTTGTCTGACCGCACTCCTCGGCAAGGCAGGAAATACGCAAAGAAGCTGCGGAACTAAGAATATAAGGAGATGTGTGTTTGCCATGAAATAATGTTTCTTGGTTGGTGTGTGTGTGTGTGTGTGTGAGTTAAGGCAGAAGCAACGAAATCCACCACTCCTCTCTCTTCCTCTTTTATTATTGTTATTAGTATCAGCAATAATCGATGCTACAGCTTCGTCTCGCGGTGCTTGATGCCCTTCGCATCCAGCAGCAGCTGCAAGTCACCGCTCTCCGCCATCTTCAAGATAATATCCACACCACCGGCAAACTCGCCCTTGATGAACACCTGCGGGATCGTCGGCCACTCACTCACCTCCTTCACGTAGCTCCGCACCACCGGGTGGGCCAAGACGTCGAACGACGTGTACTCCACCCCGAGGGCCTCCATCACGTCCACCATTTTCTTGGAGAAGGCGCACATCGGGGCCTCGGGGACGCCTTTGATGAAGACGACGATGTCCTCCTCGCGAATTGTATCCGCGATGTCCTTCTTGATGGCCGCGACCTCGTCGTCCGCCAGGTCGGTGGAGACTATGCGGGGCTGGAAGTCGGGGTGGGTCTCCTCCACATCGTCCACGTCGCCGCCCATGCCCACCGCCGGCCCATTCGCGTTGCCGGCGGGACTGCGGCGGGGCGACGTGGTGGAGAACGCCCGTGCAGCCGCCGCCGCGTGAAGGGCCGGAAGACAGAAGGAGGAGGTGGTAGCGGTGTTTGTAGCAGCGCCGGAGGAGGAGAGGAGGCCGACGTGGACGGCTGCGACGGTGGTGGTGGTGGCGGTCAGCCGCGCCGCTCCACGACGGAGGCACCGCAAGGTGAGTCGGGTGCCTGTCCGCTGCATATTTGTTTGCCGCTGTTCTAACGCTGTTGGAGAACGTGCCCCGATGTATATAAAGAGAGCAGCGCAAACTTCAATACCTTTCTTTTCGAGTATTAATGTTTTTTAAATCGAATAGCCGAAACGTTGACTACAGCTCCACGTTGAGGCACGGAGAAAAGAGAATCAACTGAAAGAAGAAGAGGAAGGGGGAGAGAGATGCTACAGAGAAGTCCTGAGAAGTTCCGAGAAGAGCGGCACAGGCGAGGAAACCGCACGGGAGAACGCCGTTTGCGGGCATTTTACGTCAGAAATCTAAGAAAAGGAGCGTCAACCGGCACCTCTCGCGGTCGATAACTTCATCACACACACACACGCGCGCCGTAAACCAGCGGACATGTGAGTTGTGAACGCCATCCATGCACAACCGCCTTCGCGTGTGTGTCTGTGTGCGGGTATCGCCGCTTTCTCGTGCGGTGGATTGCGGTTTCTCCTGCATGCAGCGCTCCTTTCGTAGCGGCGTTGGCTACTAGTGTTGCTGCTTTTTTTAGTTCTACGATGCTGCTCCTTTTCCTCCGTGGTAGTGCATGCGGTAGCCATGAACAGGAAAGCCACGTCGAGCGCCGTGAACGCGCCGCACGCAGCCGTGGTGATGTCAGCAAGGAATACGCCAATAGAAGAAAAAAAGGAACTCTAAAAGATGTACAGATGTATGAAAGGAGGTGAAGAGACGTCAGCGAAGAAAAGGAATATAAATATATATATATATATATATATATATGAAATACGCACATGGTTCCATCCAACACGCACCCGCAGCTACATAGAAAAAAAGGCTTCAATTATATATTTATATATATATATATATATATATATATATATATAA